GATCCCCGCATGCCGTAGAGTAATATCAATGTTCTCGTGACTTTGTACCTCAAATAGACACGACTTGCTTGGGGCAAGTGTACATAGATGCGTGATGACGGACCAATAATCGAGCAAGCCGAGAAGGTATTCCGTAAGGAGCAGCAGCATCTGTCTTGTCTGTATGCGGGTTGATGCCGCAGCATGACGTCTTTGTAAAAGTGAGATATGGACTTTTGTAACTATTTGCCTGGCCCCTAACTGATCAGAAGGGGGGCGTAGAAGCATCAACCACCTTCTGTCCGTTGACTCGAACTCAAAATACGTGCCAGCCAAGGCGTCGGAAGGGGCTGATGGGCGGGAGGCTGCTCGAGGCGGCCATGATGTGCAGCTGGAGAAGTTTTGAGCAAACCGACTTTCCTGACCTGCTTCTCGATCATGGTCAGCCAATGCATTTATTCATTGTGTACATACTCTTATACGTACGATCCGGGCATGACAGGCATAGGGCCAACATACCGTGCAGACCGATCGAGCCGTCTGGCAGGGTTCTCGCAGCGTTGCATACCTAGCCGGTGCTGGCGGTTGTCGTGGAACTGGAGCCAGCTCTTTGGGATCAACAAGGTCGCAAAAGTTTGAATCGGCTGCCGTGGGCTTTTCGCACTGTTTGCACTGTGAGTATTGTGGCTTGGTCCGCCCCCGACAGTCGCGCAAATCTGTCATGAACCTTGCATGGAACTCGAGCAACGGGAGCAGCACGCACTTTGCAGTGCTTGGACGTCGCCGCAGGTACAGAGTACCGTATCGAGTACCGTCGGTTGATCTGTCATGGCCGTGTATTGTACATGGCCACTCCCAACGCCTCATGCACACGACCCACGGGTACGACCCATCAGTCAACCATGCATTAGAATCCATGCATCCCCACGACATCAGGACAAGAGGGCCCGGACAGGGGCTGCGGGGAGGGGACCAGCCCAAGTTCGGCTTTCGCTGAGCAGAGGCCACAAGTGTCCAGGGGCGTGGGAACGAGGCGTTGGTGGCAGAATGGCTGCCATGGGTGTGATGGGGTGTGTCATGGCCAAATGGGCGCCAGCAGCGACATGAGGCGTGGCATCAGACGTCACTTCTGCCCCATTCCCCGTCCTTGCGGTTATTCATGTTTCTGATGTATGTACGTGCCTGCCGAGCTGGGCACGGTTCATGGCAAGTATCGGAGCTGTCACGGAGGCTTGAGATGGACATTGGAGTCGTGCACTCGTGGTTCAAGGCTTGTATGATCGGCATTGGGCCAGTTCTCGCGCTCCGAAATGCATCAACACTGGCTGAAAACTTTTAAGGCCACTGGTAGATTCAATTCTACAGTGAAGTTTGGCGTTCGGGAATGAACCATTCAACAGTTATTGGGAGGGAACCATGAGGCTTCTCCCTGCCTTGTACCGATCTCGACGGTGGTTTGGATATGCCAAGCCTCATGGCCCAACCGTCGAAAGAAGGTTCATCCGGAAGACTCCGAAACTGACGGCATTCTCTTTTGTCGGCTTTGCTGTGTTGTCTCTAGTCCATGGCCCAGATGTCTCCTTCACCGAGGCAATGCATGTAGTAGGAAACAGTGGCTATCTCGTTGCCCATCTTGGAAAGCCCCATTCCACGCCTGCGTTCTGCCCCCCGGTTGATGTCTTGTATTTCTCGCATTCATGTCCAAGCCCAAATGCAGCCATGCCCATAATAGTACGTAGTAGTGCCGTACCTCTCTCAGGTTCCGACTTGGACCTACTACTACTGTGGTAGGCAGGCAGAGTACTCCGTACTCGGTACCCAGAGGCAGGCAGACGCACACTCCCAAGCCCAACAAACCCGCACCCCCCCTTGCTCCAGACCATCAAGCCCCTCCGAAATCTATTTTGGATCGTGTTTCCATGATGCTTTTTGACGCGGGGGGTTGCTTTATTATCATTATCATTATCATTATTATTATGATTATGATTATTTCTTCTTTGCCTTCTCTCGAGTTCTCAAGTGGAAAGCCTGGGCCCCGTTCAAAAGCTCCAAGCTCCAAGCATATGGTCGAAGCTGGTCCGGAGTACATAGGCAGCTTGGGCCTTCCTGCACTCTCCCTCGACTTCATCTCCAACTTCAACCACATCCGAGCTCGCAATTACAACCGCACAGCTCAGTCTGGTTGATACACGAGCCTTTGCCCTGAGCACCGTTCTCGAGTGCAGACCCGACCCGTATCTCAACTCATTGAGTCGTCTTGTTTTGCGGCGTATTTCTGCCAACTTATACGCAACCACGCGTCTATCAGACAGTCTCCGAGAATTGTCCACGGTCAAACACAGACCCCAAGACTCGCAAATCGAGACGTCCGGTGACCCCGTTGTCTCATTCGCCTCAGCTGGGATCCCTCCATTATACAGTTCAGCTTACGGCGGCTCTGCCGAACGCATCAACACGTACCGGCCGTACACGGCGGAACCAATTGACTACTCTCCTCGTGTGGTTCTGTGAGGACCTCTGCCAGTCCAAACTCACTCGCAAAGGCTGTTTGTCGATTCATCTGAGCTGCTATACAAATACACACGCGTGGGATATACTCTTTGCTTGCGCGCGCGCACACAGCACATTGCACACCGACCACACGCAAAGACTCCCAAATAGCGCCGATAGTCATCGACAAACTCGAGGCGTCCTCCTCCCAAGAGTATCAAGTTGGGGGCAAAGACAACAAACGTCCCTGGTTGACGCCGCCAGTGTCCCGCTCGACCCTCTCCGTGGCACATAGTTGTTGTAAGTTGGCGATGCTCCTCGTCGCCCCTATTCCTGTTGGCTTCTGCTGCTATTTCCCGCCACCTCTGCTGGTGTATCGCCAGAGCTCAAGTGATCTCGGCATCCATTCTTGATGTTCGTCTGCCGCATCAAAAGCATTTAAGTACATGCATGTCACTACACCGTCACTGTCAACGCCATCGGCGCACTTGGCATTTCTGTTTCGCAGTTGAGGAACGATAACACCGTCTCCATCGGCGCTGCCGGTGTCTCTCCTTGTCCATTTGCTGGCATCGTCCCTGTCTCCCCAAGTCGTGTGTCCATACTGGCCTCTGGTCGATATTGCCCGACCGACAACAGGGCTCATCCTTGCGCTGGATTAGAATATTGTGTCTCCATTTCTGCCTTTATTTTTCATTGCCATCTCTTCCCGCCCGGTGCCCTCCGGCTTTGCGTCTCTTCCCTGCGCCTTGGGTCTAGGGCCTTGGCTTCTCTGGGTGTCGCGCGGCCCCCGGTCAGTTCCACAATCCACTTCTAAAGTTGGCTGGTGGAGGAGCCGACTGACTGGTACGCCTGGCTACCGACGTGCGAACAGTCCCTTCTCCATACTCAGCGCCCAGTAGCCAATTGCCTCGGGAGGATCCAGCATTGCAGCTGCAGTCCCGGCCACAAGCGTCTGGTCTCGGTTGACGTATTGCCACTGGGTCTCGTCCGGAGCCTCCAAGCGTGTGTGTGCAAGGTTGCAAGTGCCCGGGTGGTACTTGATGGCTGCAGCTGCCCTGTGACGCATCGCATTCATTCATCCATCCATTCATTCCCCAGTCCCTGGCGTTGGAAGCCCCTTCCTTTTCTTTTGCTAAGTCTCGGGTGGGTCTTTGCAACTTTCAACAAAAGGTTTGGCCCCTAAACGTACGCCGCCGGTACTGGCATCGATCCAGAAAGAGTCCAGCACGACGCTGGGCCCCTACCCGCGTCATTACCACCACATTCGCATTCATTTCAGCTTGTGCATTTTCTCGACCCTGCACTCGGTCATTACTTCGTGGGCCATTGGCGCCTTGCGATTCTCGCAATCTTTTGCAGTTTTTCTCTGCCACAGGGCCTTTTATTTTTCTCTTCTTTTCTCTTTCTCTTGTTACCGCGTGCTCCCGCTTTCGACTCCTATATTGCGACCAAACTAATCGTCTGGGGTGTAAAATCGCAGATCATCCTCCGTCGACCGCTCTGTGACCCTAGCGTCGCGCATCGACTTCATATTCCCAAGAATTTCCGCCCAAGAGTCGTACGGTACTTTGATCTTCTCACTCCCGAAAAGTAGAGGGCAAAAGATTTCGAGCCGGCCTTGCGTCTCACGGAACTCCGAAGAAACATTGTGCATCCGCGTGCAGCACTTAGTTGTTGTCTCTCCTAGCCACGATATCGTCCGTCGACACTCTCGCACTACCCTTTTTGGTGAAAACCAGCGAGAATAAGCTGCCAAGCCCCCCTCGCCGGCCAGACTTGGAGAATTTGCCGCTGCCGCACCGCGTACATTGCGAAAGGGATTTGATAATTCGCTTCGAGAGATTGCCAGACCTGTGAGCTGCTCCTTCGGCCGCCTTCCTACGGTACGATTTCTGCCATCCTTGAGTGACCGGTAGGGTCTTCAGCACGAATTACGAGCGGAAGATATATCACGGCTGCGTTCTTGGCTCATTTCAAAAAGACGACGAGGCCACCTTATTTTTTGACGGCCTCCCGATCTTCCAACTATCGTGCCGTACTATTTGATCAAAAAGTAGAAGGGTATCGTTGTGCTAGCCGGTAAGCGTTGCCATTGTTTCCTATCTGCGTTACAAGGACACCAGCACCATTCTTGACTTATGCAAGGGCGACGGTCAGACTGCAGAGTGTCCAACGACATAAGTGATTTTCATGCTTTTGGCGTTATTGCTCTTGTCCTTTGATACAGACATACTGTGTACAATTTTAGCCAGGAGCTTGAAATCTGTGGTGCTCAACTTGCTGTCACTGGTGCTGAAGTTTCTTGCGCCTTGTTTCCAAGCCAATTCTGACATTGATAGTTGCTTATTGTTGTTGCCTTCAATCATTGGCTCTGTGCTGTGGGACATCATTTTGGCTGTCTTCGCGTGAGTGAATCATTCTGCTTCATAGTGTTGGCTTCAGTGGAATCAGTGACTAACCAACATACGCGGCAGACTGAGCCGTGAAGCAATCTCGAGGCGTGCCGCAAGGCAATGGATGTGACGAACATGCTGAATAATAAAGTAGGCTCACTTGCGCACCATTACCAGCAACAACATTTTGTCGGAGCTCACGCCGATTACCACCATCCTCACCTCTCACTTGTCAAACCAGAGCACGGTATGGAACGCTCAGTTTCTCCTCATATGTCTGAGCATTCCTCGTATTCCACAGCCCATAGCATCGCAAGGTCATATGCCTCTCCAGGGACAATGCAAGCATCTATGCACATGCCCAATACGATGCCAGCTCAAATGTCTCTACCCAACTTTCCAGATATGCCAGGAGCTATGGGCGCGGTCCATGGCATGACCATGCACCAGATGCCCCAGCACAATCAGCCTTCTCCTCAGCCGGCAAAGGCATTCCTATGCGCCACTTGCAGCAAAAGTTTTGCTCGTCGAAGCGATCTTGCACGACACGGTAAGCGGAGATATTGAATCATAGTTGAGGAATCGCCAAGTTAATGCAGATGACAGAACGAATCCATACCGGCTTGAGACCACATGTTTGCGATTATCCTGAATGTGGCAAGCAGTTTATTCAAAGATCTGCCCTCACAGTTCACAAACGCGTCCATACAGGAGAGAAGCCCCATCATTGCGAAATCTGTGCCAAGGTAAGCGGGATTTGGAACTTGCGTGCGGTTTTTTCCCCCTTTTGACCATTTCGCTAAACTATCAAACAGCGTTTCAGCGATAGCAGCTCTCTTGCCCGTCACAGACGCACCCACACGGGCAATAGACCCTATAAATGCCCCTACGCCGATTGTCAAAAAACTTTCACACGCCGAACCACCTTGACTCGACATCAAAATCACCACAGTGGAACAATTGAGGAAGCGGCGGCGGCCACGGCAGCCGCCTTGGCAGCATCCAAAGCACAAAAGGCAACAAGAACACGTTCCGAGGGAGACCATTTGTCAAGTCATGGGTCGCCCCTAACTACGCCTTCTCCAGGCCACCGCACGATGTCCATGTCTCCCAGCATGGATATGACTACAGCGACCAACGTAAACCGACATCCCGGTGAATTTCAATATCTGCAGCAAAATGGACTTCCACCACATCTACGGGTAGGAAGCCCAAATTCAGCAGCGTCCAACGGTTATACCAGCGGAGGAATGAGGCCCACGTCGCATCCAACGAGTTATGGACCGCCGCCCACTTTGGAACCGAGTGTTGAGCAGCACCAGCCCGGTAGTTCCGGAGGCAGCCCTCACATGAGCAGCGTTGGTTGGCAGTCACCATCGCATGTTCCGTCGCCATCTCAGGGAGCAGGAAGTTATGTGTATCCCGAACCAGACACATATCCTCAAAACGCAGCGATGGGACAAATGTATTACAACGCGTCAGCCCAGATGCGTCGACCTCAAAGCGCCGAACCCGGGCTAGTACATATGGCTTAGGTGGCCTATTTATAGCTCGAGGTTGTTGAATAATGGAACAGTCAAATACACGGGGGCCGGCAACGGTCCATTGATACCCTTATCGTTTGTTTCACTCACGACACACCAATAGATTATTCCAAGGAGAGGCGACATTTTGGGTCCCGGTTCGCAGCAAGTGGCGACGCTATTCTCACACACACACACACACAGCAAAGATACTGGGAGTGTTTTGCCATGCTCATATCGAATTGTTTGCAATGGGCGGACAGAAACCCTGCGACACAATCCCTCTCCGACTAATTACACAGTTATGTCATCATTGTTTTGATGAATTTGTGGCTCTCCGGCTTACGTTTGTATCTGTTCTTTTTTTTCCTTTTGTTTATGCTCAGCCCGGTAGAGCGGCAGCGGCCGATTACATAGGGACGACGCGTGACGTTGCCATTGATTCAGTTTCTTTTTCTTTTTCTTTTTTTTTTTACTCATGTGCTTCCATCTGGCATGACAGATACGAGACTTGCGAGGGTGCGTTAGGATGCAGGCGAATTTTCTAGCAGGAGGCTAGGCAGGCGTCATCAGGGACTGGTGGAATCCGAGAAGAGGGCGCACATCATTGTTATATTCCTTATTTGTATGTAGACTGGGGACAAGGAATGGATTTTACCCGAGTACCAAGAGGTGTTGGACACACCAAATCATAGATGAATTCGTCGCCATTATGTTTAATAAATCCCACTTGACGAACTATTGTGCCAGCCAGAGTGAATCATCTATAAGGTGCCGCCCACAAGGAGCATTACAAGGGCTAGAAGGAGAAAATTGTGAGAATTGAAAAGTATGAAGCTCGAGACATGACTCGTAGACCAGAGACGACTGAGGACGTGGATTACCAATGTCACTCTCTGGCTTGACGTTAGGTGCTTACATACATGCATGCATGTTGGCATTCGTCACATTCGGGCTATGTACCCAATAGGAGCTGCTCCGGCATCGACATGCATGCAGCCACATCCTCTGAGTGAAATGGATGGTCTGGCTGCATGATTCGATGGAAAGACTCAGAGAGGGATGGATGGAGTCTTGTCTTATGCGCACGTTCAGCCATGAATTATGATTACCTGTCACTTGTTTCCAAAACAACTATCCGGAGTGCATGGCATCGACGTTGGTCTCCAATATAGGCCCTTCTCGAGTCTACTTGGTGCGGAAGAGGGAAAGAAGGAAAAAAAAAAAAAAATATAGATTCCGGCTGGCCTACCTAAGTGGACACTAAAGCGCTTGCCGCAAGGTGCTTTTGTAGGGAATACCGGAGAATTTGTAGGAGCATGTAAATCTACGTTCCTGGCCATGACACATGGTCAGGAGGACGCATCGACACGGCTTGTCGGGCATGAGATGAAGGCGTCTGGGGAAAATGGGAACATTCAAAACTTAAAAGAGCGGTGCAGCTCGAAACCGGCATAGCTTCTGACAATATTGAGTTCTGATTATGTATTTGGCTGGGGAATGACGTGGCTGCTGCGCTGTAGCCGCGGAACAGACAATAAGCGGCAAGAGGGGCGGGGTGGCGGTGGACAAGGGAGGCTCCTTCCAAACGAGCGCCGAAGTCGCCTGCGCAATATAAGTTCCCCTCAGAGTCAACCATGCTCTCCGTCTGTAACTGTGCGCACGCATAGCTACTTCAATGTTGCCATCGGGTCTGGTACGCTGCAATTTCCATCCTGGATTCCGCCATCTTTCTTAATACGGTCCTGGTCCAAAGACTGTCGCATCAGAGGGCCGCTAGCCTACTACCCCTCCATGACGGGAAAAGAGGGCCCCGAGAAAACATGACAACTCTTGTCGTCTGCATGGTCTGCTGCACCATGATTACTGATCACTAATCCAGAGTCCCTTGTCCAGCAAATACAAATCCAACGCCCGCCAAACTAAAACCCGCCAGCCGTGCCATTTCAGCTGGGGTCCTGCCGGCACTGCATTGTGGAAATAATGATTACTTAGCTTGGACGGAGGCTTCTCCTCAAATTTCAACTGGGACAGCGTAACGGACAAAAAAATCTGATGGGTGTATAAGTCCTGGCGCCGGGGTGGAGAGGAACCTTCGGTTCTTGTTTTCTATCAATGACCAGCAGCCCGTACACCAGTCGCTTCGAACTTGCCACTGACAGGCGAGACCGAGACGCTGGCCCCTATTTCCATCATTTGCGTGTTGAAAAGCTGCTGGGCGGCTTTTTCGTTCAAGTATACGTCAGAGTTCCTGTGAAAGCCTCACTCGATTTTATCCCACCTTCGACTAGACGAGCCGTTATACTTCAGAGGGCCCGTTACCGTTCCCGTTTGCTGAAGCCGCCACGTTGAGAGAAGTGATTACGGTGTATCCTTCCAGACCAGAGATAAATCGGTGTACCACATGGCCGTCTCTCAACTTGACAGACTGGATTTACCGCAGACCGCCACTGCCCTTGGGAGACCTGTCTCGATGCCCTCCCCTACCCGGGCGGAGCGGCTGCTCGTGCCCATCGAACTGTTTTCAGACATCTTATGTCCATGGTGCTGGATTGAGAAGCGCAGTCTTGAGGCTGCCATGAAGAAATTTGAGTCCAAGCACCCGCAGGTTGAGTTTGAGGTCGTATGGCGATCATTTTGCTTGAATCCGTTGTTCAAGACCAGTACGTTTACTATATGCCCTCCATCCACTTCCACCCAGACCCGTCTGATCTTTCCCAAAACAACCTTCTACATACCGCCAGTCTCTCCATGCCAATGAAAAACTATTGAACACCACTGACAGAGGGGGGTTAGAATGTGGCAAGATCGCGCTATACGACGAAATGGCTGGCGGCCCTGGCAAGTTTCAGCCGCATCTTGACCGTGTCAGCGCCGTCGGCGCACACTACGGCCTCAAATTCTCCGTCACAGGCGACACCGGCCCGACACGCGCCTCTCAGATCCTCATCGCCAACATTCTCCGCCGCCGTGGACCCGCAGCCCAAGCACGAGTTGTAGAGGCCTTGTTCCGGAGCCACTTCCTGGACGGGAAGGACATCTCAGACGAAGACGTCCTGGTCAGCTTGGGTAGCGAGACGGCAGGTTTGCCCGCAGATGTCGTTCGGTCAGACCTGCGGGATGACGACAACGGACGGTTTGTAGATGACGAGGCGGAGGCAGCCGTGGAGGAGAAGGGCGTCGAGGCAGTGCCATGCGTAACGGTGTTGGGAAAGTACAAGGTCGGTGGGTACCAGGAGCAAGAGGTGTTCGAAAAGCTGTTTGAGCGGATATGGGCGGAGAATGCGCGTGTTTTGAGCAAGCCGTGGGACAATGATTAATGTCATGACGAGTGTCGTGAGGAGATTTGAAAAATACCCCGAGGAGGCTATCCCAGACAATAAAAGCGACTGACAGAAATTGTAGAACTGATGGCGCTGGGGAATGGCTCTCAACGGCAGCATCCGTCACACATATTGACGACAGCAGTTGCTAGATGCACACGAGACCATAGCATTTCACGCCCGACAATGGACAAAGTCACCGTGCAAACTTCAAGATACTTCAAGATGGAATTAGGTGTATAAGTCCGTGCTAGACGCAAAAAGGATATAATATGCTCCACCACAGTTTTTCGAATCCGTGGTCCCAAACGCCGATAAAATGCTGCTATCTGTGCTTCCAATTTAGCCATGTCCTGTATTGAAAGAAAAAAATTCCCCAGAGTCTCCCTCTCTCTTTATTTTTTGTCGACTCGCCACCGGAACCTTGTTAGAAACGCCGTAATCCAAAGACCCAGTACATTTGAATTGTACAGTATCAAAAAAGAAGAAGAAAATTCCTCGAAAAAAAAAGGGGGGAAGGAGGGCCGGTGATGTAACAATGGCCACTCATCGCCGTATGTGGCTGAAATCCTGCAATAAATGCGCCATGTGCACATTTGTCGCCTTTCCCGTCCTCTTGCTCGCCCTCTTCTTCTGCACCTTGGGCTTGTTTCCCGCCGCTTGCTGAATCTTGAGCGGGTCTTCGCTGGTGGGCTTCTGTCCAACGTTGACCAGCTTGCGGTGCATGTCGTCGACGCTGGGGATGGGGACGCGGTGCCACATGACTTGGAACTCGGGCTGGACCGAGTTGTGCAGCGACGGGTCGTCGGCCCAGACGTAGCGGGGGAAGTTGTCCTTCTTGGTGCGGACGACGAGGACCTTGTGCTGCTTCTCCAGGGACGCCAGCGTCTCCTCGCAGTCGGGCCAGCCGTCCTTGAGGTCCTTGACCGACACGCCCGAGGCGTCCGTCTTGCGCTGCAGGTACGCCAGGAGAGATGTGCCGTCCTTGACGTTGAGGATGATGGGGCGGTACGAGTACATGCCAGTCTTCCATGTCTGCTCGCTCAGGCTGGCGTCTGGCTTCCAGTCCACGCGCGGGTGGCCCCTCAGTCCTTCCGTCAGCTCCCGCTTGTGCTCCTCCGAGTAGCCTCGCAGGCTGAGGTGGTCGATGATCTCGGTGATGCTCTTGGGCTCGCCCTTCTTCTTGAGATACTCCACCGCAAAGGCCATCTGCGTCTTGACTTCGGCACCGTACCCCGTCAGCTGGGGCTGAGAAAATGGCACCTCGGGCGCCAGGTCGCGCTTCCTCTTGGCCGTGGGCGTGGTGCTGTCCGATGCGGCGGATGGCGAGGGGGACGGCGGTGCCAGCGACGTCGCCTTGCCGGCGCTCGTGCTGGAAGGGTTCGAGAGCTTCGCGGCCGCCGAGGCCAGCGTGCCGCGGAAGGCGGAGGACTGCTTCTCCAGGTATGAGGACATGGTGGGCAATGAGTGGAAGGGCCTCGAGATGGAGAAGTGGCGGCGTTTCGATAGAGGTCGTGGGGTTGGGCGACGGAGATGAAGGGGCCGTGAAGGGAAGAAGGAAGAGATCGCTGATGACTGCATGTGTGCTTGGAAAGTCAAGTCTTGAGGTTCGAGGCCGCTAGTTGATTCTGCACGCTGATTGGTCCGTGATTCAAGGCCACATCCTGCACTACCGCCATGCCCGTCTCACTCACTATAGAAACCTTATTCTGCGCAGGCGCATTCTGAAGAGTAGTCAAAAATTTGGAGTCAAACTCAATCTTTGTTGCAGCAGAAATTCTGCTACTTGTTTTGTACCTTGTGCATTCCTGCAAGAACATGTGGCGTTGCTTGAATGGCGTGCCATCTCGACCCTTGGCATTGTTCCGAACACTGAACGCCTCTCGAACCCACGACTGAATTGACGAAAGAGGCTGCAGGAAATCAAAAAGAAACGGGGGGTGCGCCGGGTCAGACGCCTTGCTCATCATAACCTAAGAGTATAAAATAGCGTCGCTGTGAACAAACGCATCGTCTTGGCCGATTTTGAAACAAATCAGCTGTGACTAACCCCCGCTTGTATAGCCGCTGCGTACCTAAGTAGAGTTAAATTTCCCGACGAGGATCATGGAGATCATGGATGACTGAATGACTCAGAAAGCGGCCCATCTCAACACCCTTAGATGCCACTCAAATGTGTGAAAAATGCCGGATATTTATGTGCAACAAACATCTGCTACTCGGTCCAGCTGGACCAATCCATGCCTTTGCTGCCATGGGCCAATCCTGTTCATTTGAAATCAGTCTTGTTTCATATGATTTTGGCAGGGAAAAAAGTCCAGGTTTTAGATGGGGCCCGTCATTTGATTTGGCGTCTGGCCATGTCATTACGAGCAGGTACGGAGTACGGAGTACATGCAATGATGGTCCCGGACGAATGAGTGACATGTGATTTCCGCGAGTTGGGATTGGTGCAATCGAACCACCAGGCTCTGCGCGTTGTGGAACATGAGCAGACCTGTTGCATGGTTCTGTTCTCTCTCAGTTTAGAACGGAACATTGAAAGAAGAGCCGACTGTTGCAACATGCAAACAGGTTTGCATGGTGGCTACCTGCGCTCCGCCTGTGCAGAGAAAGAAGCGAGCTGTTTACAAAACCTTGATTATAATTCTATAGAGAAGACTGGCCCAGTGGACAATATCTACCATTTAACCGAGTACAAATAGATCCCAGCCTCTAAAAAAGACAGTGCTGAGACCGCATTTCCAAGTTGCCCGCTCTCAGCCGTCCCCACGAAGACGAGTCTTCCTCTAGGGGATGAGCCATTGCATAGAAACGCTACCGGACGTCTCAACGGGACTTCCCCTCCTCAACTTTAACTCCCTTTCATAAAAAATCTTTCGTACCCCTCTCCGTCGCCAACCAATCGTCGCTTGCAAGGGACAAGGCCAGCCTCAAGAGCATTACGAGGAATTCATCATTGTTGAAAATGTATAAAAAGCAAAGGAGCATTTATGCGGCACCAGCCTGCTGAGCCTGCTGCTGCTTGGCCATGTACTGGAAACCGAGGTAGCCCAGAGCACCGCCGATGAGGATGATGAAGTAGACACCGATGCCCACGCCAGTGCTGTCGCTGTTGCCAGAGTTGGCACCGGATGAGGTAGGGGGAGCGGCCTTGGGGGCAGGATCACCGGGCTGCAAAGAAATAGTTCATGAGCGACTTTGTCCAACGCATATCTTGCAGTTGAGACACGAAATGGCGCCTCGGGGTGGGGGGGAACGTACCTGTCGCTTCAGGACACCGACTTGAATCTTATCCAAGGTCTCGCGAGCCTCGTCACTGTGGCCAACGTCCTCAAAGGCCTCGGTGGCATCCTGGCCGGCGCAGTCGAGCAAAACTTCTTCGCCACCACTGCCATGACATTGTTAGCTTGTGGTTCAATTCGTCAATGGGGACATGCACTGGGTAAGCGGGCGAAATCATGTCCGTCCAAACATCGCAGCACTTGTTTTTGGTAGGTAGGACTGTGGTCCGACAAAAAAGGGGTTGCTCCCAAGGGCAGCAATGACGTACGGGTGCTCATCAACAAATTGAGTGCAGTCGTAAATCTTGTCATGGATCACGACATAGATGTCCTTCTTGGTGTTGTGCTCAGCAACATCTTGGTAGGTAAGCTCGACGGTAGACGACATGGTGGGCGGCGGGTGGTTTGCGGCGGAAGCGCAACAGGAGGGCGGCTCGGTCTGCAAACAAGGGAATCGACAGGAAATGGCAAAACCAGGGGATCAAACGCCGTCAACGCGCTCGTACAAAGAAACCCGTGAGAGGCGGAGAGAAATCGAGGATGGAATCAAGATGGTGTGGAGAGGAAGACGAGAGAAGGTCCAGGAGCAGGCAATGGCGACCCCCGAAAGCGAGCGTCTTGATGGTAATAGGGTCCCGGTCCAATTGACTATCGGCAATAGGGTCGGCGTCTCCAGAATGCACAAGGCACACACAGTGATGGCACTGGGTTCAATCTTCTATGGTGGCCTCAGCGCGGCCCAGATGTCCAGACGTCCAGATGTCAGTGGGAGGGCGGCCTGTAGGTTGACGGACAGCCAGCCTGGCCTGTCTGGTTGCTGGCACCACCCGGTCCTCCAACTTCCGTCCCAGTCGGAGGATCCATGGAACCCGCGGCGTTGGCCAATGGCCTGCTTCAAAATTACTGCTCAACGTTTTTGATTCGTGCGTCACTCACCCAGACCCCAGCAACAAAAAAAAAATACTCGGCGCCCTGGGAAAGAGATGGACAGAGACCAGTGCTAAAATTTCCGGCGTCGGGCCTGCTTACGCAGCTTCCAGACGACCAGATGCCACCTACAGGCACAGGCAGTGCTCCGCTACGGAGTGTCCTGACTACCGTCGACATGTACCGCGAGGCTGTCGATAGGCGCCGCTGGTTCCTCCGGAGGTCCTGTTAAAATACACCAGACCAGACAACACTCGCTTCGTCTGCCCAAGTCCCGCGACACTCACATGTCGTCATGTCCGTCCAAAGGCCCGTTCCAAATACACCTTGTCCCATTGCGGTCTCGTCAGCATTACTATCCCGGGCCACCGGCCGTCTGGTCCAAGTCAGCTTCCATCTGCCTGCAGCCCCCTCAGCCAAGTCGAGTCGAGTCGATTGGATTTTCGCCGGCCGCCTCTGCTTTCCGTGTCGCCCTGCCCCACCCAACCCAGTTCCGAAATGCTGGCGGCTCTGTTCGGTTTTTGACCACGGAAAGCCATGGTCGACTCCGACAAGCTGATTGCCTCTGCCATGGACCCCGCTGCACATTACGTGATGCCAAGCGATGGAGTCGAACACGCTGCCGTGCCGTCCTTCGGAGCACGCATCTACAGAGGAACAGATGGATGCAGATTCCAGTCGGGAATCACGGTACGCGGCCCCGCCAACGATGGAGGACACAGAAACTCGGGCCGTAGTCATGGCGCGCGCCAATTTCGATTCATATATATTACTCCGTAATATGTGACAGCAATGTGTTGGCCCATCTTTTTCCATCACTTTGAATTACGACTGGTATCCCCATTCACCCCCGGATTTCCTCTTGTCACATCTGGGGAAAGCTGCCACGACTCGACGGGTGTGTGGAGTGAAAGGCCAAGGTGGCGGGCGACACATCCCGAGGCAACTTCCGAACACCGAACGAACCCATACATACATACATACAATCGGGTCTGGTAGAGGAGAGCACGCAAAGCGCTGTTTTTGGTGCGTGAGTGGGTGTCTTGCATCTTCGGCCTTTTCTGTCACCGTCTCTGCTCCCGTCTCTGCCACCGCCGTCTGTCAACATCAGTTCCACGCACGGTACAATTAACGCGTCCGATCCCTACCCCCTCCGGCCACTAGCATCTGCGCGCTTGACATGTGAACTCTGCACCGGGCACGGAGCTCACAATGACCGATACGTTTTTTTTTTCTTCCTCTGAAAGTGTAAAATGTATTCAGCTAGATATACTAGCTAAGTCTTGTCGTGACATCTTTATGCAATGCGTCACGAACTCCAGTCGCTGCGGTATCCCATCGATCAGATGGAGGATCCCTTAGAGTTGCCCCCGCCAATATCTTGTCCCAGCCTGTAGGTCATCACTTTATCCCATGCAATCTTTTGTCTTGTTACTGGCAACTGTCTGCGTAGTGACTTGAACGCGTTTTCACTCAAGTTGACGAAGCCCTTGTTCAGCTCCTCCTGGTACTTCCTCTCCGTTGCTGAGATTTCTTTGGCGATTCCGGCCCCAGTCCTAGAAGTAATTGAAGCCGTGACGGGCTTGTTGGTAAGCAGGCGGACGTTGCCATCTTCGTAATAATGGACGTCGACCTTGATGGAGCCTTCCAGGCTTCCGGAAGCTGGATCAAATACGTACTGGGATCGCCATCGTCCATTCCTAGAAAATATTAGTCACGGGAAACCGCTTTTGCAAATTGATTACTCCTCCGTGATCTTGTTGCTGGAAGACAGAACGGAGATATGGGGACATCATCAATGGCATTGAGCTCGTACCAGAAGTTGTTTGGGCTGTACTTGTTGGCCACAATAATAATAGCTACTTTGGAGTCGGATTCAATGGGATACGCTCCGTATGACGCGTTCGGAAAGTGCTCCTTGACATATGCTGAAAGACTTTTCAGTGTCGATGTACTGCGCGCTATCAGTTCTGGGGCTTTCCACTCCAACACAGCTCAGTGATGACATACACTAGGTCGACTTGAGGCCCTTCAATCATATGGGTTTTCACAGCGCTAGCTTTCTGTGCTGTCCGGTCAGCATTAAAAAAATACCCAAACCTCCTCGAGTCAACGTGCCTGTGTTGCGTGGTCGACAGCAAAGCTCGATGAGCTTTCCACGTCGTAATATCGTCCGTCGCCAAGGGCATTGTGTGAACTGATGACGACCTACTTCAGCCTTAGTATCGGATCATGTCCCTCGGCCGCAGAATCCACCAATTTCATACCGGTTGGCTGCTGCCAGGCAGCTTCACGGTGACCAGTTGTTCTTCGTTGTATTTCTCAAAGGCGGGAGTGAGCTCGGATACAATGTCTGGAGAAGAAACCGTCAAGGCTTTAATGTCTGCAGCGAATGAAATCAGCAACTATGCGAATATGGCGGCCTCGGAGTAGTCGAACCGGCAATGACATCGGCGAGCTGCGATGGTAAGTTAGCATAATGATGACGCGACGCTGGAGGAGCTGTCGTGAGGAGAGGAGGCTTGCCTCGCCGGGAGGAGCTCCCTCCACGAAGGGGGATACCGTCTCGACTTGCGACATGATGCGAACGGGTTGCACCACAGCTGCGTATCCGTTGACAAGGAGGAATGCAAGGGCGTACGTTGAGAGGACACGGATTGCGCAGGAGACTCGGCCGAAGCATGCGGTCTGAGTGGAGGTTCAGCTGAGGCGGGGCGGATCTCGAACGAGGGGCAACAGAGCTGCTCAGGCACGAACCAGAGGACGGGCGGGTACTTTTGGCCACATACAAAATGCTACCACAGTCATGTACTATTGATTCCACTCTGAAGTACTACTCCGTAGCGTCCAAGCCTCCAGATCAACATCAACATTGCCTCACAGTAATACGCGTCAACGTAACTACTTAACGCCTGTTTAAACAATTTATTGTCTACCTAAGCGGAAAACACCGCACCGGCTATGCCCTATGTACAATTATAATCGTCATGATTTCTCTTTTTTTTCCTTTTTTTTTTGGTGGTTCTCTTTTGCTTTGACAGTCTAGTAATTGAGACTCTTCTTGATGTTTTCGTACACACCTGTATATAGTTAGTACAATTCTTACAAAGGTCATCATAGGGAAAGACGAGCAACTTACGTGCAACATCTGGAATGTTAAACTTCTCAAACATCAAGGCGCTGTGAATGCTCCAGCCTGCCACCCGTGCCACAGGAGCTTCCAGCCGGACAAAGGTCTCGGGGTCTTCCTGAATAGCTGCGGCCACTTCGGCACCGATTCCGGCGTTGACCATTGCCTCGTGAACGACGAGAACGCGCCCAGTTTTTCTAACACTGGCAAAGACGGTTTCCTTGTCCCAGGGATACACGGTCCTCAAATCAATGAGCTCACAAGAGATGCCCAAGTCTTCTTCGGCCTTCTGGATAGCTGATAGACAGGTATACATGGGCTGACCATAGGAAATAACGGTAATGTCCTCGCCCGCCTTGACGACTTCCGCTTTGGAAAGGGGCAGCTCGTAGGCAGCTTCGGGCACTTGCTCAACGGCAGCTCTGTAGAGAATCTTGGGCTCCATAAAGAGAACAGGGTCATTGCTTCGAATAGCTGATAATAAAAGGCCCTTTGCTTGGATTGGTGATCTAGGCATAACAACCCGGAATCCGGGGACATGGGTGAAGAGACTCTCGGGTGACTGGGAGTGGTACAGACCACCATGACCAACGCCACCACAGGGCATGCGAACTGTCAATGAGCCGGCGTGGACTCCTGTGGCCCCTTCGCGATATCGCAGTTTCGCTCCCTCGTTGACAATCTGATCGAAAGCAGGAAAGACGTAGTCGGCAAACTGGATTTCAGCAACCGGTCGCATTCCCTGTGCCGCCAGACCTATACCGAAGCCCATGATGCCTTGCTCCGTCAATGGAGTGTTGAAGATGCGTTCAGCACCATAGGTCTCTGCGAGCTTCATTGTGCAACGAAACACTCCTCCAAACGCAACATCCTCGCCAAATACCACAACCGAATCGTCCTCGGCTAGGGCAATCCCCAGAGCATCGTTGATGGCCTGGAACAGGTTCATCTTTCTGGTGGCGCCGTTCCGTACTTCTGGAGGAATCTCATTGTGATTACCAAGCGCCGGTCCCTTGCTGCTGTGAGCTAATAATTGCGTTTCCGAGTAGTCTATCGGCTTGTTTAGACGTGCTTGGGGCGGATGGGTCGAATATGCTCGAGCGATCTGGAGGGGGAGCAGGATAGGTCTGGACGAGGCCGCAACCCTTTGCAACTGACAAACAGCCTGGCGCTTCATGATGTGCACACCAATCCTACCGCAACGTAAATAGAAAGCGGTTCAGAAAAGCTCAAAAGGTCGATCAAGGATTGGGGGAAGGGGAGGAACAAATGCGGCTGTTCTGAGACTAAGAGTTCCCCAGACTTCTGGTAGACTCGGCTTTGACGAACTC